AGCTTTATAATTCAGCTTTATAATTGTAGTCTAAACATTTTATTGATGTACAAACAGTCATTTTTTGTATTACTAGAGGAATTTAAATATTTCATTCTAGGAACTCCCTGTATAATTTTAAATTACAGATTTATTAATTATTCAGTGAAAGGTTTTAGTTCAAATACATTCAACAAACTTTATATTTCATAGTAAGTCTATTTTTTTCAGTGATAGCCACTTGACACTGTAAAAATCTTGAAAATTATAGGTTCGATAACCTATTTTGATATGCCCAAAGTTCGTTTGCAGATATAATGAATTGTGTGAAAAAATAAAATTAACACTTCACACATTTAAATAAGAATAAAAAAAAGTCCTAGAACTACTTACAAACTTTTTGACTCGTGTATTTTTAATAGTGCACCATAGATATCGTGACCACTATATCAGTGACTCGACCTGACCTACATTAGCTTAAATTGGTTCTAACTCGGTCTAACTTTCTCCAAATTCCAGTTCATCATCGGTCTCGGTGTGCCAGTAGACCTGAAAGAGCAGTCAGTTACCGTCGGTACAGTAATAAAGTTCCAATATGATTTGCCTACAAACAGTACTGAATACACAAGTAGGATCTACGGTTTCGCTGAAACAGTCTCGAGGGACATGAACGGAGACAATCCAACAAAAGACGTTTCAAATGAAATAGATTCAGACGAGTCAAGACAAATAGATGAGACAGAAGATCTTGTAACAGAGGAACCCGAGGGAGACAACGATACGTTAGTCGATCTCACTTTTGATGATAGACGAAAGAGGTCCCTCGTTTATTCTGAGAATGCTGTCCTAATTACTGACAGTAGTACTGCTAGTAATGATTTGTCTTTAGAAGAAGCGATTAGAAAGCAAGAAATGATTGATCAGAACGCTTTGGAAGAAGAAGAGGAGCCACAAAGAATGAATCGATGGGACTTCTACAAAGTTATAGAACGGATGGTTGAAAGGTAAAGTTGAATAATATTTCAACAATACAAGACTTGTTTTTGTGAGTTTACATTTTATTTCCCACTAATTTCAAAATAAGAGCAGAAACTACATCAAAGCATAAAGATTAAACTTCGAAAACAACAAACCAAAACTCTAAAGTAACCAGCTTAGCTGGCTCACAAGCAAAGAAACGAAAAAGAAAGAAGTAAAAAGTAACCCTATAATCTGAAAAATAAAACTTAAATCAAAACATCATTTAGTTGAAGTCTTTATAAAGAGTTAACAAGAATCGCTAGGAAGGTATAATATTTTATTAAGGTTGCCCATTGAAACTTCAGGTACGGGTATTCAGGCCGGCCGTGCTTGCTTCGAACAATCTGCGAGGCTGCAGAGGTACCATTCACCCATGAAAACGGTTTGCTCGGCGAAATTGGACATATTCTATTCACGTAAGTCACTAACGTTATGAAAGGATTTTGGTACTGCCTTATTTATGAATGATATATCATTCATTCGTTTGGCAGTTGACGGGTTAAGATTGGAGCTCTTTGGTTAAGGAAAATCGTTTAATCCGACGTTGTTCGGGTATTTTTATTTGAAGGGTGTGCAAATGAGGTGGTCCCGCGTTAAGCCAGCGATTTCATTTTTTTAATCTTTCATGTTTTATGGTTTCGTATTATGATTTTCTTTTTTTAAATGTTGTTTTGTTCTCATTTCTTGTTTGACTTTTATTTATTACTATAATATTACTTCGTTCGCCGAGTGGTCGCAAGTTCGAATTCCGGATAAGGGGTCTTGGGTTCGATTCCCGAGTCGGGCAAAGTATTACGGGATTAAATAAAAATCTCAGTAGTAGCACAGAGTCTGGAATTGTATATAGCAAAAGAAATAGGCTCACCCCCTATTACATGGGACTCATAACCCATTCGAGAATAAAAGGCGTGATATGTTATATGTATTACAATGATAAAGATAATGTTTTCATTAATCATAAAGGTTTATTAAATAAAGAGGTTTCTAATTGTCTGCAATACCAGTATCGGGGCCCCTTAGCTAATATAAGTGACGTTTAACGACAATCTGGTTTTCACCAACCTATTTATAAGTGACCCACCAGACACACCACACAGTAGAAAGGGTTAGTTTAGGTGCTAAGTAACTTTTAGTTACTGTCATAATGTCATTTATATTGTTTAAAAGAATGTTCTTGTCTATTCCAGGCCATCTACAACGAAGGACACATTGTCTCATCACACAGATAATGAATATCATGCAGCTGAGAGGCTGGGCAGAGAGACGGGAGTCAATTGTGAGGATCTCTTCCCGGAATGTGAAGGCTCCATTCTAGAAACCTTTACACAGATAGGAGAGGACACATTGCATAGATTTGGGTTCCTGTAATGTTATAGAACTGTTTTAAGAGTAAAAAGGTGTAGAAGTGTTTTTAGGTATATTTTAAGTGTTTTCATACTAAGGGATGATTTTTTATCGACTATGTATTGCGAAGCTCATTACAAATCAGCAATTACTAAAACAAAAAGAAACACATATAATGTTGTTTTTAATTCATTTCATAATTCATAACGCTGTGAGTTGTGTGTGAAATTTTTATTTAAAAATTATCCCTTAGACACATTATTTTTTTAAAGATTCATCTGGACTATATTTTTACAGCATGATACAGAATTGATCCTAATTTATTTACGATATGTCTCAACACAGTATACTCGAAAACTAGACAAAGAGACCTACGCGGTAGACCGGTCATTAGTCACTTTTGTGGTAGTGTAATTTCAGAAAGAGAAATGCTAAATATTAATTAAGTTTACATTTTTTGTACATAAAATATACTATGGCAGACGTAATTATGATCATATTTATAAAATGCATCGATTATTATGTAGGTATGTGATACTTCCAAATGTCGACAAAAATAATCTTCTTGACAGTTGGAATATCGTTTTAATGCAATAGATAGAGTTTTTATATTATTTTTAAAATAAAATTTAGAGAAACTTGTGTTTTATTTCGTTACAATAAAGTTATAATAACAACTATTGTTTGTTTAAATATATTATGTTATTGTTTTCAGCTTTAGTAAACTAGTTGTTATGCTAAATTAAAGATTTTCAGAGTTATTTACTCATAAACTTTCAATACTCAATTGGTTTTTGTTTATAAATTCATTAATTTATATGAATTATCAGTACGAAGGAAAATTAATTGTTTAAACAGAATATTTGTACGCGCACAACTCCCGAACGACTACACTTAATGCAATAATTCCTTTTACTTTATATTTCATCTAGCCAGGACGAAATGTAGTAGTAGAAACTTAATAGCCAATAGTCACTGGTGAAATAAAAAACCAAGTTTTGATATTTATCTATTAAATTATAATTTAAATCCAGATCATACTACACACGTATTAAAACACGTGAAAAACTTTCTATTTTTAAGACCAAAAATTCAGATGAAAATGATGTTAAAAATAGAAAAAAAGATAATAGACCTTATTATAAACCACTCTAAGTTGACTTTTGCGAGCAATATAAGCGTGGGATGAGATAGAGATAATGCATTCTATTTTGTAGATGATTCATGAGCTGTTTCCGAAAACAGCATAAAGCACACCCTGTATACCAGTGTTCTTTTATGAGTATAAGTACGGTTACATTTTTGTTCCGCCGACTAAAAAGTTTAATGTGAATAGGTCACGTTAAAACTGAGAATTTAAAAGCTAAGAACCTCAATTAACTTTCTTTGGTAATCATTTATTTGATTTGGGTATAAAACCTAATCTAACCTCTATTTTTATAGGAAAGGGGCGGAATAATCGATCTTAATACATACAATTGAGATGGTAATTTTTAGATACGTAATTTTTACATTGATATAAAGAAAGCAAGCATTTATTTGACAGTTGGCACGCACACAGATACAAAAAAATACAAAATAAAAAAAGAAAAGAAGAAATAAATACACATTTATAGATATAGGAAAAAAAAAGAAGGGATAGATTATACCAACACAGTGCCAATACAATAATAATACAGTAATTAAAAATTAATAATAACAATATATAAAGAAATAACGTTTAACGGCGCGTGCCCTTGCCAAAAGGGCCTCCATTTCAGTATTAAGTTGAGCGTACATGTCCAACGCTGATTTTCAGATGGCACCCTGCAGTAACTCAGTGACGGCGGTAAGCCGCTCTTTAAACTGTCAAACACCAAGCGGTCACCGGTGACCGCAACCTATTGTTCTATAATTGTGTCTACAAAACCGGTACTCGACGAGTTAAGGAAAAATAAATGCATACAAATAAAATAATTATTCTGCAGGTTACGTGTTTGTGTGTGAAAAATTGTGATCCAAAATAGTGTGGCTAATATGTGAATTAATAATATAATAAATTTAATTATAAAAGTGTAATACAAACTTAATTAAAAAAGTGTAATTTCTACATATTTTTTTTAATGGAATGAGGGTTATTAAATATACTTCAATTTCTATAATAAAAACTGAAGTACATAAAACGAATAAACTTGTAATGACGCCTGATAGCACGGTCTGGCAATCATACGTTATGTTCATTTGCGCTCCTTTTAAGATGGTGAAACTTACACTATTGTGGAGCGGTGAGATGCAGAATCTAGCTTGTATATTTCTTTACAATTGATAAAAATAACTTTTTTGTGTTCTACAGAATACATATTTTATATTTTTGCACATTTTACCTCACAACACTGGGTATTTTTTTTACGACCTCTGAATAGAATTTCAGCATTTTTCGAAGCTTTCTGTAGAGCTGTAGAGCTATATAGCTCATTGCTACTTAATCATGTAAATGAGACAAATATGAATAGTGTAAATAAAAAAATTAAAAATAATAAAAAAATTAAAAATAATAAAAAAATGTTTTATTTACATAGTGCTACGTACGTAGTAACTTCGTAGCCGATTTACATCGTGCTACGTTTGCGTAGCCATTGCGTAGCCGTCATGCGGGGTCTAGCAACTAGTGACATCGCGCGGGTGTGGCTAGTATTATAATATAAAAAGTATATAGGAAACGAATTAGTCATAATTAATTAAAAAGTTACAGTCTTTATTCCCAATTAAGCTTGATCGTGTAGTTTCGTGAATACATCTATGAAGGATAATGCACAGCCATGATATAGCTTGGAACAGTCTTCCTGGTTCTCTCCATCTGTATACGCCTTGATGTAAGGGTATGTGTCATCGTTTTCCGTCAGGTGGTGAATGCCGTCGTTTTTGGGACTGTAAATTGAAATTAAATAGATTAGAATTATTGTTACATCATAATAAAGTCAGGTATAGGAGATTGTTCTAAATCGTTTTTTTCTTTTTCTTCTTTTCTTTTAAAAACGTTATCCCCATACTAGAATTTTCTCCTGAGTCGTGGGTGCGTTTACAAATATACAATTTCACATACACATGACACCCAGACCCGGAACAACAATCTGTGGATCAGACAAAGAGTTGTTCCGTGCGGGAATCGAATCTGCGACAGGTTGTTCTGCAGCCGGTTGCCCAGCCACAAATATAAAGTTTAATGAAAGAGGTTGCTTGTGGAGTTATACCTAGTAGCTTTTGGTCCACGACTACGTACGTATTATATAGTAGGGGAGCCCACGATGCTAAATTGGGATTTACTTGAGCGTCCTTGGGACCTACTGGATTTTGAAGATATGCTGATAGAAAGAAGAAATGGTTTAGTGACAATTTCTTCCACCAGTGGGGGAAGGGGGAATCTACAGATCTTTGAAATTGTTAAGCGTAACTTTTGTTCTAATGGTCGAGCGTGTCAGATATTGATAATGTACATGCTCCATGTGTATTTAATAATAAAAAACTCTTAATCTGCCAGTTTGCATGGTGGGGTTGAATGTTCTGGAGAGTACAAACGAGAACCCTTCAAAATCCCCCCACTCTTGCAAATCAAGTTGGAATGGGCAGATTTTTTAAACGCACTTCCTTTAGCACGGTATTGACCTACCTTCCCTTAATCTGACGAAACTGACTTTATTTAGTCAGACTTTTTTTTTAATTTTCAGTCCCCCCCTTCTAATCAGATCGGATATATGTTGGGTATATTCAACATGACACTAAGTTTTCCCCATATGTTAATCTGACGCGCTCGAGTAACTACCGAAATCCCTTCATGGGCTCCCCTACTATAAGCATGAATATCTTCGATCTCCTTTAAATTTCGAGAACCATCATCATCATTCAAAGTTCATTTCTTAAGTAGTTAACTATACAACTAAACATGTGCTTTTATTGTTTGGTTTATTTTCATACTTCTGGTTTGGAGAGAAAGAAGGCAAGTTACGAAAATCTAAATTTATTTGTTTTAAAATTTTTTCATCATCATCATCATCAGCAGGCTACAAGTGTACTTATAATAGTCTTCTTATACCTTCTCAGGTTTGAGAATTAATCAAGAAATAATAAAATTATAAGTTCAAGTTTCCTCATAATGTTTTCCTTTACCGCTAATCATCTTAGAAAGTACATATAACTCGGAAAAGTCACATTGGTACTTGCCGTTGGAAAGATGAATTTAGGGTTTCAAACTCACGAAACGAACCGCCCTGTCTATGCACCAATATTGATCTACATTAAATTTGGACTAACTACAAGATACAACCAATCTTGTTACACGAACTTGACGTGAGTAGTAGCGCAAAGAGTCGTCGTACCACATCAAATGTGTACTCATCCAATCGACAAGTTCAAACTGCTAATGGTGCCTAGTGGTTCAACTTGTCAACGCGTGACATAATGTCACTTTGAAGGGAATGCGGCACTGAACCGGTCATTGACCCGTGCCCTTCACAATATGGTGAAATAGTGGAGTTCGTGACTTTGGCATTGGTTTCGTGTAGTATTCGTAACAACGCCTTTTGTTTCCCGTAAGTGGTAAATATAAGTGGTATTAAATGTGTAACACCACTATCCCCACTATTGGTCTAATAAATTTCATGTCTCAAGCAATAAAAAAATGACGAAACCTCATCATAATACTTTGCCCGACCCATTCCTAAATAGGATTCGGAATTCTATTGCTCAGGAACCATGACATCTAAACCAAGGAGTCAATCCGTAGTTTATTTATTTGTTATTTTTGATAATTTATTTTTAATGTCAAGAAAAATTATAAAACAAATATTATAAAAGTGTCATGCACGATATTTAAATGACAAATACTTACTTTAACACAAATGTTGCCATTTCATGCAAGAGATCTTCTTCATCATCAGAGTGTAAAGGTTCGGCTCCGAGTTGACACAACGTTTGCAGAACACAGGACTTTCCGTTATGACCGAACCTGAAATAATAGAGCAACAAAAATAAGAATTAAACATAAAATCTTGACTGTTTAGGATTTGATTAAATGCATTTGGTGTTTTCTCTTTTGACAGTTCTAACTCGTTTATCAACTTAAACATCCTATTAAAATTGGACCCCAATAATTAAAAACGGTATCACAAAAAAAATACTATCATACCGTTGGCAAATAGCACGGTTTATATGGAACCATTACCCAGACTAAGCTATCAAACCAAACTAAGCTCCTAGTACAATCAGTTTTCAAATTCACACACGCCCTCGCTACTAACATATTAAAATATACCAACGATCAAAATAAATATACGCGTTGTTTATTAAAACAGGGCCGCGCCAGTAAACAGTAATAAATAACAAATTTTGACATTCACAAAATTGGTATTGACGAAAGCAATTTTTGTGAAAATTGCTTCCGAAAGCAACCAAGTGTCGGTGTGAAATAAATCATGGTTTCCATATCTTGGCCTGCCTATCGGTTATCCGTGAATAAACAGGCGTACGATGCGTGACGTCATCAAAGTCGTGACTTACTTTGTATCTTATTTTCGAAGTATAGAGTTATTTTGTCTTTCCAAAATTCTCATACACAATCTGGAAGATTTACACAAGTCAGATATAAATTAATTATTGCTATGTTTCCGGCTTAGTTACATAACTGTTTGACGAGGAACTCGACTAGTTTCAAGCCATGATAGAGGCTCATATTCACTGCTCGAGTTCCTCGTCCAAAAGTTACGTAAGTTAGCCGGAAACATAGTAATAATTAATTTATATCTGACTTGTGTAAAGCTTTAAAAAATGAGAATTTTCTAGTCTAGTCAATCTCACGATAGTTTTAATATAAAGTCAGATATAACCTTAATAATTAACACTAGTTAAGGTTAACACTTTAGTTAAGGTTGATTTGTAGCTAAATAGGTACATAAGTAGCGATCATGATGACGAGAGAAGTTATGATCCAGATTTCTTCTTGGACGTTTCTGGAGATGAGTACTTTCTTTAGCGCGATTGTAATTCCTACTACCTAATCCTACTGATATTATAAATACGAAAGTTTGTGAGGATGTATGTGAGTGTGTGTGTGTGTATGTATGTATAACTTTGTTACTGTTTCACGCAAAAACTACTGATCAGATTTAGATAAAACTTCACAGTAATGTTGGTCATACATTAGAATAACATATACGCTACAATTTGTAATGGTTTTATGTAAATAGTTATAAAGTCGTTAACCTTAAATCTGGTCAAACTTCCAAACCGTTAAATTTGTTGTAGTAATATAGAATAGTAGAGCACCAGTAGTTACTAGGGTTATCATTAAAAAAATATGGAGCTGCTGATGATGATGCCGTAACATCAATTAATACGTTGATCTCAAAATTTGTTCATACAAAAGTAGTCTCTGAACATTGGAAATAAGGTCTAAAACAGAGTTAGTGGAGAACGGTCACCGGTGACCGCTTGGGGATTGAAGAGTCAATAAATTTTGCTTAAACTTGTCAAACACCGCGAGGACACCGGTGACCGCAACCTATTGTTCTTTAATTGTGTCTATAATGACGGTACTCAAAGAGTTAAATTATGAATGGAGCCATGAAAATGAGGTATTGAAGAAAGTTACGTAAAGGCGGATATACCTAGTAAAAAAGCTAAATTATCATTTATCACCTCGTCAAATCGCCCGATTTATTTGCCAACTTATCACCTAAGTACTTTACAGTACAGTTGTGTACAAAAATGTGTGCATCGGGACCACGATATAAAAAAGAAAGAAATTTCCTAAATATTGATAAAGTATCTGTTACTGTCGTCACACTACCTGTATATTTTTTAGATTAAGTACTTAAAAAGTTTGCACTGACGGTTTTCATTCAAGATAAGTAATAACATAACATCACGCCTTTTATCCCCGAAGGGGTAGACAGAGATGTACATTGTACACTGTACAATGTAACACCACATTTCACTATTTATGTTATGAGTCCCATGTAATAGGGGGTAAGTCGATTGCCATATACCGGGCACATTTCCAGACTCTGTGCTACGACTGAGGATTTTTTTAAAAACCCAGTATTACTTTGTCCGACCCGGGAATCGAACCCGAGGCCCCGTGCCCCGCAATCGCACTTGCGACCACTCGGCCAACGAGGCAGTCAACAAAATACTATCAGTATCAATACCCTTTTCTTTTGTTTAGATTATAGTCATCATAATTACTCATTATTTACGCTATGAAGTTTATTTTAAAAAACCTATTCAACAAAAATACGCAAACTTCATAAAATAATCAAAGAATTTTGCGATTGATTGTACTACTAATAAAAATATTGACGTCAAATATAACTTCGAAATGCCTAAGTTAGGATGACGGTACATTTTTCATGTTTTGCTACAATTTGTTATTTAATAATGACATTAGTAAACACTATTACTTATTGATTCACGTATTTTACTTTTAATATTTCTAAATACATAACATCACGCCTTTTATCCCCGAAGGGTTAAAATTGGGCCAGTACTTTAGGCGTGGAAGCGTAATAAATTAGAAAAACATAAATCCTTTTTTTTATACTCAAAAATGATATTTTATTTGTGACAATTGGCTAGTTTCTTAGGTTTAAAATAAATTGTTTCAACTTTTCAATGCAATAAATAATTAAAGATTATTATACTCTTATCCATTGATTTGACATATTACCTACTTTTGGATTTTTTCTCGCTAATTTTATGGAAATAAATATGCATGCTATTTGACGCAGAAATATAATGACGTCATAAGTTGCGATCCAATACAAAATTCATAGAAAAGTATCGTTTTTGACATATTAATAAAAGTATTGAATTTTACTAACTGTCAACTACCGTAATACATACTATTTTTAAATACAAAATATATTTTATGACCTACAAACAAAAACAGGTTCAGTCTAGTTCCGGCTCTAAATAAACATTTCCTTTTGTGAAAGTTGTAAGTCATTGAGATAACAAGAATCCTTTTATCTTACAAATTAGCATACATAAGGTCCTAATGCCAATCTGAGTCGTGACCTAATGACGTCAGAATTCATTAGTACAAATCTGAGTACAGTAAGTCCAGCGAGTGCTAATTCTTCTAACAAATTGAACGAGGCATAAGTAGTGCGATTAGCGGCTTGCCAAACGAATTAGGATTCACACTCGCTTCACTATTAAAATCACTTTAAAGAGCCGTGATTGGTGACAAACTGGATTAAGGTTTGGTAGCCATTTTGGATTTACGTTGTGAAGAAATGTGGATGCATTTGTAATGCGAATTAAGAAAGGTTTATTTAGTAGCGAACACATAGCTAGTTTGGAGGTCATTGGGGAGGCCTTTGTTCTACAGAAGACCAAGTCCACTGCTGGGGCTGATATGATGATGAAGACTTGAATTCTTACATAACATCACGCCTTTTTATCTCAGAAGGGGTAGGCAGAGGTGCACATTACGGCACTTAATGCCACTGTACAATGTAGCACTCACTTTTCACTATTCATGTTATGAGTCCCATGTAATAGGGGCCTAAGGGGTGTACCTATTGCCATATACCGGGCACAATTCCAGACTCCGTGCTAATACTGAGATTTTTTTAAAACCCAGTAATACTTGGCCCAATCCGGGAATCGAACCCGAGACCCCTTGCCGAGTCGCACTTGCGACCACTCGGCCAACATTAACCCAAACTTATTACTTTGGGTTATAGACATTCTATACTTTATGACTGGGCTTCACCCAGTTGTACAGTCTCTTCTTTGTGCCTTTAGGCTTAATTCATTCTGTCTCCTGCAGTAATTCACCGAGGGAAGTAAAAACCATAGTTTTTTCTTCTTCTCCTCTTATAATATCTTCTGATTCACTTCGTTGCGGGAACCAAGACAGTTACTCATGTCCCTGGGACGCGCCGGACTTCAGTTTTCTGGTGTTTTCATGGTTGTATCTACTGTAGATCCTGGCTTACAGGAGTTGCAGCGGTTTTGGGAGGTTGTGGCGGGCTTGTCCCATTTAAAAAAAAATTCTATACTTTATAATAAGGGGAATGTCTAAATGGTATCATAATCTTCAATCTAGAGACGAAATGTTAAATAAACAAAATTTTTTATCCACGCTTACAGATGGCCATAAAAATAAACTGTAGGTAGATGAGACTTAGAAAAAAAAACGTTCCACACAAAACAGATTTCTCAACAACTTTATGGTTTTCGCAATTAACGATTTCACGAAACGTCTTTAAAATATGTGAACAGAAACAGAAAACTAACCTCATATATCGTTTTATCCTATGTTCATATAATATGGCTATAATATGTTGAAGTACCGCGGTTAACCAAACCCTTATACAAACATTTTAACAGAGGATTTAGCGAGAATTAGTTCTGTGCAGTAATAATATTATTAGTTTTATTATAAACAGATAATAATTTTATGAAAATAGTGTATAAGTTACAATGGGGTTGACATATCCATGTGGATAAAAACCCCTCACCAAATATAAAAAAAAAAAAAAAAAAAAAAAAAAAAAAAAAAAGTTAAACAGTAGATTAGTATAGATATACTGATTGGTTACAATGGTTTTCAGTGTATTTAACTCCTAAGTAAGGGGTGATTGGATTCCCACGACAACAATTGACTGCCTTGTTGCCCGGTTGGTCGCAAGTGCGACTGCCTGGCAAGGGGTCTCGGGGTCGATTCCCGGGTCGGACAAAGTATTACTGGGTTTTTAAAAATCTCATTAGTAGAACGAAATCTGAAAATGTGCCCGGTATATGGCAATAGGCTCACCCCTATTACAAGAGACTAATAAGAAAATTAGTACAAATGTGGGTGTAACATTGTACAGTGGCATTAAGTGCCGAAATGTGCACCTCTGCCTACCCCTTCGGGGATAAAAAGGTGTGATGTTATGTATGCTAGTGAATGTTATTATATGTATGTAGGTACATTACGCATAACAAATGAAACAAAATTACCTTTATTAAAAAAAATGTGTACCGTTATATTACTGATCAAATATATCTATTAAAAAGCTTGATGACCACGTAAACTATAAGGCTACAAATTCTATCTTACTAACTACAAAGCAACCTTTCTCTACCCTACATGCAAATAACAATAAACCGCTACCTAATTTCTATAAAGGTTAAACAAACTACTTAAGCAGTTAAAGATAACCTTTACAATGTTATCTTTTATCACTAAACTGAGGCAAGGGCGTGGTGTACATGTATATTGTTGCTAACTCGTAACTATACGCTAACCACAGGTGACTAGACACGTTAAGTAGTAATTAACTTGGTAACTAACTAGGACACATTTTACTCAAGTACTAGGCTTGCATAAACCATGAAGAAGTGCAATGAAGAATTTATTATTTTTGTTGCATGGGAGGTGATGGCATCGCATTCTTAAATTGAAATTAAAAATTTCGATAATTAAGAAATTAATTTAATTAACTATTAGGCTGAGACTAGATACTTTTTTAATGGGGGGAAATGATCGAATGATTTCTCCCACCTAGGTGAACGGGAGGGATTGTCAGACTCTTACTGACTAATAACCACCCTGTTTCTACTCCTGCATTTCGAGCCCCGGTAACATTTAAGCCTAAATACTAGGATTGCATAAATAGTAATTTGACTCTTCATACAGAATACAGAAATGATTTGACCTTTTACAGTTTGGTATGGGAGATGGCACACCAATTCTGAATTTGAAAAAAATCTGACATGTGTGATTAGAATTGCGTATGTGACGCTTTTACTTTCCATCATATCAATCGATTTATATTATAACTTTTGTGAGACATACCAAATTAATTATTATGTTTTCGGTAGCAACGCGACAGTCGCCACGCCGCGTGTCGCGGAATTTAGCTCATGAATATGGCCTCTAGCATGGCTTGAAACTAGTCGAGTTCCTTATTAAATAATTACGTGAGTAAGCCGAAAACATAATAATTAATATCAGTCGATACCCTGGTTTGCATGAATGTAATAATTATTCAGTTTGATTCTTTTAAGTTCGATACAATATCAATATATTACTAATGATTAGTTAGGTTGTAGTATTATTTTGCTGCTATACATTCAAACCAGACCCATGCATAATTATCTACTTGATATTAATCTGACTTACCCATCTAACACAGCTTCAACATGTTTATAGAAGTGGTACAACTTCGCATCATCCTGATAATCTCCATTACTGTCGTATTTTATCCCCACTTCTCTCTTCTTTCTAGCTGTGCCAACATACCCAGAATTGGCTTCTAATATGTCAAGAGGTATCTGCGTTCTATTCCAGGGTAGTTGAAAATTAGCTTGAAATGCGTAATTCACGTTTATGTGCTTCGCTGCGCTCGGAAATCCGAAACCGGCGTTGAACTGTGAACAAACGGTTTAAATCAATTTTAGGTAGTTTAATGTAACGCGACAGTAATTTTTTTTTTCATGGTATTACCCGGTGAACGAGGATGGTAAGTAATCGGCGTCGCCCATGGACACCTAGAACACCAGAGGCGTTACAAGTGCGGTACCGGCCTTTTGGGGATTAGGAGTTTGAGGATAGTTTGGGATTCAGGAATTGGGGAGATTGGGGAAGGGGAGGGTAATTGGGCCTCCGGTAACCTCACTCACACGACGAAACAAAACGCAAGCGTTGCTTCACGTCGGTTTTCTGTGAGGCCGTGGTATCACTCTGGTCGAGCCGGCACATTTGTGCCGAAGCATGGCTCTTACTTAAATTGTGGAACGCCCTAAACACTAGATTTAAAAAAAAATACATATCTTTTTTGGGGATATATGTATGTAGGAATGTAGGTATGACAGACAGTAGCGTAACAGATTGGGTTATCGAACAGTTGTTCCAAAATTGTGCTTAGGTGAACAAAAAATTCATCTATTGATGGTGTTGTACATAGTAAATTGTCCCATGTACAATACCCGATATTTTCTCCATCTAGTAACACATGACGCAATCCTCATTAACAATCCTCAGAGAAATAATACGTCATGAAACCATTGACAATCTTTGAATCCTATTAATCTATTCCTTACTTTAAAACGAAGTGACCATATTACATTAGAGATGCAATCCATAACTTTATTCCACTTCATCCCCCTCACTCCACCACCAACGAGAGGTCTATTTTTTATACGGGACCACATGATTGAATTATGCTGCTATATTTCGTTTTAAAGGGAACCCTTAACTGAGTTAGCTAGCCCCTTTGCGATAAAAGGGAGCTTTCTCGTTCACTGTGTTAAAATCCTAAAAATTGTTACGTTTTCTAACTAAATTGTAACTTTTATGGCTGATGTACGTTTTGACCTGACGCTGGATTAATTAGTAAATATGTATGTTATATTAAATGTTTAGATAAGAGGGATGGAAAAAGTATCCATAGTACAATGTTTTGGTGTATTGAAATAATTCGAAGTTTTTCAGTATTTTATTGCGACAGCTAAGACTAAATTATTCAAAGTCAAAATCATTTATTTCAATTATATCAGAAAAGAACTTTTGGACGTCAATAGAAAATTTATAGTGGATGCTATTTATAGAACTAAACTACCGAGTTTTAATTAATTTGTTTCTTGTGAAATCATCATATAAAAATGAATCCCTTTTTCCCTTGGTCACGGCATCACGCGTGATAGGCTGGACCGATTTCATTAATTCCTTTTTTTGTTGTATTTGTTATTATACGAAGGTTCTTAAGACAGAAGAAATCCTGAAAATCTCACGGGAACGGGAGAAAACGGGATTGCGCGTACGAAGTCGCGGGCAGATGCTAGTATTAATATATTTAACAAGAATTGCATAACTTAACTCGTCGAGTACCATCATTATAGACACAATTATAGAACAATAGGTTGCGGTCATCGGTGACCACTTGATGTTTGACAGTTTAAAATAAAAAAGCTAGAATATACATAGTTAAAAATAATTAAATTGATAGAAGATAATTCAAAATGATTGAATGAAACAGATTTATTTCTTTTACCTTTTTTTGAAGAACTAAATTTTTTTAAACTGGCTTACTCTTACAATCGAATTGATGTTCAACTTATTAGGTTTCAATCAGTCGATAAGGAGTTAGGTACTAGATCAATGATTCTCTATAGCTTTAGCTTATCGCAGTAAGCCTGAAATCCACTATAATGGAAATCACTAAAATGGAAAATTCTTAGGCTTAAGATAAGAATGAGTAACTAACTCGTAATAGGATATTGTTAGGCTTAGACCAAAAACATTGATTTAATTGAACTAGATAATTTATTGATAAAATTCTTATGGGTATTAAGTTTGGATTATCGAAAAAAGGGTTTCTATCAACATGGTACTGATTAGCTTTACAATATTTGTACCTTAATATTTTCTTTTATTATAATAATTAATGGTAGTAGACGAAGAGATGGAAATTGGTTAGAAAATAGGTTTGAAATCTATTTTTTTTAAACTCACTTACCTGTAGTAACGTACTATTGGGCCACAATAAAACTTGTCTCGTACTCCTATGTAGTATCCCATCCGATAGTTCCATCTCTTTCCCACTTACAGGAATTATAAGTAGGTCGGATGCAATAGCAAGTGTTAAAAGAAGTTCTTTACAAAACATGGTGTTTAAACGGCGCGTGCGCATAGAGTGGCGTGAGTTGCCGAATTTTAAGCGACCTACTACGTTAAGTGATGGTAATCTTTTCGGATAACCAATAGAAATTGGTGGCATTTATGATAATTTTTAACCGATGACAGAAAAGAGGGTTCTGTGTTTAAGCCCATTTTGCGTTAGTCTTAATATTTTTTTAAATGATTGCTTAGCGCGTGATTGTGAATTGGTTAGGTACCAAAGTTTATTGACTACCTAATTTTGTTTATTTTGTATCATCATCACATCAGCCATAAGACGTCCATTGCGGAATATAGGTCTAGCCTAAATAGTTTCAGAATAAAATGGACTAATGTTGGGAGACAAAAATGGCGAAGTGTGAGTAATAAATGTTAGTTACAATCAACTATACTGGAAATATCAATCCCTTAATTAGTTCATACAAAAGTAGTCTCTAAGCCTCGGTAACAACGTCTATAATGTAGTTAGTGGAGAGCGATCACTGGTGACCGCTTGGGGATAAGTTTCTTTTGAGTGAGTGAGTAACGGCTTTTTCCCAGCAGTGCATGAGACAATTATTGATAATGATCAATACCTGGATTAACGCTCTAACCTTCTCAGTGTGAGAAGAGGCTTTGCTCAGCAGTGGGCATTTATAGGCTGTTGATGATGATGATGAATACCTGGATAAGCTGAATTAACTTAATGGAGAAAAGCTTCGTATTTTAATAAGGATTTTTATTTAATAAATATACGAACAAAACTAAATTTTCTGTAAATGAAACCAATAAACTACTTATGAAATTGAATGGAGCCGTTTCCGAGATCGTTGATATATTATACAAGAATTGCTCGTTTAAAGGTATTTATTAGATGATAGTTAAATCCAGTAACGCGATCATAGGTAAAGTAATTTAGGTTGATATTGTCTTGTGATTATAAAGAAACGAATTTCGTTTCCAGCTTTTCCACATCACGGGAAAAAGACAATTTTAAGCCTATTTTCATAAGACACATTTAAAGGTTTCAAGCGTGGGAAAGCAATGCTTCTGCACGAATAGACCGGGTCGACCGTAGTGATACCACGGCCTCACAGACAACCGGCGTGAATGTTTCTTCGTGTGAGTGAGGTAACCAGAGGCCCAATTACCCTGCCTTCCCCCCTTCCCCAATCCCTGATTCCCCAACAATAATAAAATTGGTAATCCCAAAAGGCCAGTAACGCACTTGTAACGCCTCTGGTTTTCCAGGCGTCCATGGGCGACGCCCATTGCTTACCATCCAGTGATTCGTCTGCTCGTTTACCGGCTTAACCCATAAAAATAAAAACGAAAGTATTTGACAGTTGTGCCGGGTAGCCTAAAGAACAAAAATAACTGAGACAAAATAATGATATTCAACTGAAATTTCTAAGATTCAGAACTAACATGGGAAAGCCATGTTAGCACGAATTGGCCGGCTCGAGCGCAGATAGCACAACCTCATAGCAACCGGTGTGAAATAACGCTTGAGATGTGTTTTGCCATGCGAGTAAGGTTATTGAGTGTCCATGTGCAGTTAATTTTAATTTTAATTTTAATTTTAATTTTAATTTTAATTTTAATTTTTTTTTCGTTTCATTGCAGTGTTTTCTACTAACATTAGTTTATTTATTAGAAAAACAATTCATATCTCGCTTTTAAACCAAAATTTAAAGTTGCGTTTAGTACCTAATTTTTTTTAAGGCATAAGCCGATAAGCGAGCTGATTGATCACCTGATGGTCAGCAATCGGCGTCGCCCATGGACATCTGGAACACCAGAAGCGTTACAAGTGCGTTACCGGCCTTTTGGGGATTAGGAGTTTGAGGATTGTTGGGTATTTGGGGATTGGGGAGATTGGGGAAGGGGGAACCCTCCCCTCCCCTCGACTTAACTTAACTCACACTACAAAACACAACGGAAACGTTGCTTCACGTCGGTTTTCTGTGAGGCCGTGGTATATCACTCCGGTCGAGACGGCCCATTTGTGCCGAAGCATGGTTCTCCAACACTTAATATTTTTTAAACTTCATAATTGTATTTTATTTTATTTTTTTATGAAATAGGAGGCAAACGAGCAGACGAATCACCTGATGGTAAGCGATCAGCGCCGCCCATGGACACCAGAACAGCAGAAGAGTTACAGGTGCGTTGCCGGCCTTTTAAAAAGGAGTACGCTCTTTTCTTGAAGGTTTCAAGGTCGTATCGGTTCGGAAATACCTATGCAGATAACCTGTTTTGCAATTGGCTTTAGATAGCCACATGATGTGTATAAAGAAAAAAAGAAAAAATTTTACCCGGAACTAGATGTGGATGAAATTTGAAACGGAGGTAGATTACGGTCTGAGGTAATACACAGGCTGCTTTTTACCCCTAGGAACGCGGACAAAGCCGGGGGCAAAAGCTAGTCTTGAATAAACAAAACTTTGCATACCTTATTTAAAACTTTACGGTTAATGTCACTTACTAGTACGGCTAATGACGACTTCCAAAATGTCATCGTGAAATCAGAGTTTATATAAAATGTACAGAATATTTAAAAATCCTTAAAAGCTTTGGATGATTGATGTAAATGTAAGGATGTTGAAAAAAGGCGGACTCAGTCTCTTTAAATAAAGACTGCGGCATCTTTTTTTTTATAGGACAAGCCCGCCACAACCTCCCAAAACTACTGCAACTCCTGTCAGTCCGGCGCGTCCCAGGGACATGAGTAACTGTCTTGGTTCCCGCAACGAAGTGAATCAGAAGATATTATAAGAGGAGAAGAAAAAAAAAAACGATAATTTCCACTTCCCTCGGTGAATTACTGCAGAAGACAGAATTAATTAAGCCTAAAGGCACATAAAAGAGACTGTACAACTGGGTGAAACCCAGTCGTCAAGCACCACGGAAATTTGACTAAAAACTAAGTGGGTGCTATGTGTGAGCTGTTATACTTGCTTCCAATAATAGGGACGGCAAAAGCGCCTAGACGCTCAGAAATTTGTTGTAGATTCCACAAGGTCCGTATAATAAGCTACACCTGACGAAACAATTAAATTATTGAACATAGTGTTACGTTCATATTGCCAGAGATCACACTCCCAGAGTATGTGATGGGCGGACTGCTCGTATTGCACCTCCACTGTTGAACATTGGCACCATAGTGAATCAATAAGTTTAAATGAGAACAATTACGATACAAGAGCAATACAGTGATCCACTTCCCACCATGTCCTCTCTAGCCGCTCATGCACGGATGGGAAGAACTGATATAAGTGGCGACCCCTAATAGAAGATTCCCATCTACACTGCCATTCAGTTTTAAGCTCATCCCAAACGTCCGTAAATGGCTTAAACAATCTAGCAATTTTATTTCTATCACTAATTAGGTCTCGAATTGTAGTACATAGCAGCACGTCGGTGCACCTCAAGATCGACCGGAAGTACGCCCGCGAGCACAGGTAAGGCCTCAGTGCTAAACGTCCTATAAGCGTTACATAGGAAAATCAAGGCCAGACGCTGTTTTCACCGTACCGCGCCTATTGTGGCCCTATCAGTCCAGACAGGAAATATGACTGCGGCATCAATGTACCTATATATTATAATAATTAACTCGTCGAGTACCGTCACTATAGACACAATTATAGAACGATAGGTTGCGGTCATCGGTGACCGCTTGATGTATGACAGTTTAAAGCTATTTCGGTGTTTTACACTTAAGTAAAAATTAAATGGATGTGGCGTTTTTTAGTAAACGACATTTAATGAAAATAAAATCTAGCTGGATCGATTTACAACCCCTGAAACCCGTTACATGCAAAATTTCAAGAAAACCGTTGGAGTCGTTTCCAAGGTTGTTGATACAAGAATTGCTCGTTTAAAGCTATTAGATAAAAAACCGGATTAACCGTCTGCGGCTGACGTGTAGTCCCACAGACACCGCGTAATACAAAATCACGTGTTATACCGTCATTTTTCAAATACGAGCATCACTGCTGCGAGTACCTTACTGTATAGTGCTCGCTATACTTTAATTCTACAAAAATATTTGCTGTTGAAATGGTGTCTGGTATACTATACCACCTCAGTTGAATTTTAACAATTTAACCGCGTCAGTTGCAGAGGGTTAAACAAAATTATGTTGCTAAGCACAAAACTCAAAAGAAGTAGAATTGATTTCGTTGTTTTCTTTTTGTGTCTGTTAAGATCCCGTTATTAGTAATGCAATCAAACACAAAATTCACTGAAACCTCTCAGTCAAAGCCAGTACGAATCACTAGTTTTACGTTTTTATATGTAATATAAATACATGGACAAAACATACCTGTAACACAGAACTATTCAGGTACAATAATTGTCTTCTCTCCCTGTGCACTATATTACTTATTTCTGAATGTCCAGATTTTACACTGGGATACAAAAAACTTAGTAGTACTAAAGCCAAGATATTTGCCGTATGCATGATGCTTGTATGAGTTTACGTTCTGAAGTGGGGTGCGAAAGACAATGCGCCTATTTGGAAAGTCCTACATTACGTTATTCTATGGAAATCAGTGAGTGTCCTTTTAAAGGCGGACGAGCGACGCGTTGTTTTTCAAAGTTTTTGTAAGTAAGTAATGGTTTATGTTTTGTTATTTGAGTGGTACTATTTCTTTCATTGATTGGTATCGTATTATTATTGAAGTGTTCAAGTTAGTGAGGGTCAGTTGTCCTATAAGAAAGTTTGTAATTACTTCTGTAATTTTAAGTATTTATCTAAGTAGAAGTCAAATATTTTTATAATAACTATCGTGAGATACTAAATTAACTAAAAATCGCGGGTTACTTACGTGAATATACTGAAAAAGCAAGAGAAGAAAGAGAGATGTAGGCTGCGCGACATTGCCGCGACCGCGCACGCTGCTCATGAGGAAGAACCCCTCTGTGGTTCGAAACTAGTAGAGCTTTTCTCAGTATATTCACGTGAGAAGTCATATATTTGTCTGATAAAATATCGTATCGTTTCACACCATATCAATTACATACTCAATGTCCAAATACCTAAAATATGCATACAAACATAATTTATTTCATAATAAATCTAGATAGCAATCAATATGTAACAGTACACGTAATACATCAGTTTTAAGGTATAGTCTCGTGACCAAATTGTTGTTGGATAAACATATTAGTACGATGGGCGGAGTCATGTGACCACACTAGACTTAAAGGTTGTAAACCAGCGTTCACACTGGAGCAACTTTTACCAACAACTTTTACTACGACGCAAGTTGAAAACTTTAATTTCGTGTTTACTTGTCTTATTACAGGAAGAAACTGGAAAGTTTCAAAAGTTTTTAATAGTACCTTTTATGAAGTAGATTTTACTCGAGTTGGTTGTCGTTTGAAGTGCTTTTAAATATTACGCTTTTACCTGTTAATTAATGTACTATTTACGTTAAAGCAATATGTTTTTATAATAACTATCGTGATACATAGTAAATTAACTAAAATCGCGGGTTACTCACGTGAATTTACTGAGAAAAGCATGAGCAGCGTGCGCGGTCGCGACAGTATATTCACGTGAGTAACTTGCAATTTTAATTAATAAAGCAATATGTTTTTTTTTAAACGTTGCCCCACACTAGGATTATCTCCTGTGTCGTGGGTGCGTTTACAAACATACAAGTTCACATACACAATGACACCCAGACCCGAAACAACAATTTGTGGATCACACAAAGTGTTGTCCCGTGCGGGAATCGAACCCGCGACACGTTGCACGGCAGCCGGTTGCCCAGCCACCGCACCAACCGTGCAGTCAATTTTTGTCAATCAAAAAAAGTCAATGTTTTATTTATAAAATAAGTAGCCTGTATCAAAAGTTGTATTATAATGCTCTCCTTTAAATGTCTTTGAACTCTAGTAATCACAACCAGAATTCTGTAAAATTACGTAACCATACAACTACATCAACTAGAAAAAAGACAATAAACAAAAATTTCAAAATATCTGCCAAATTCCTCGCAATAGTATGAACATCGCTTTATAAAGCCGGCTTCACTCAGCCGCCAGCACTGACGACATCGATAACAAGGCACTGATACGCGACTTCGACACACGTGGAAAATGTGGCTTCCTATATCTGATCCCTGATTGGCTGTTTGTTGTTGAAGAGTGCATTTTTTAATAATGGGGTAAGATTATGACATAAAATAGTGTGATAGTGTTTGAAATAGATTGATAAAAGTGTAAATGGATGAAATTGGATGAATTTAGTGACTGTTAGTGTTTTTTAATAGTTAAATATGCAGTGAAATGTTGAGTTATAATGTATATGCATAACTATGAAGACTATGTGACGTGGAAACATTGAAAAAGTAAATTCGGTGTACGGCATATAGAAATATATCGTATCGTATCGTATAATATTATTTTAATCAAATATAAAATATAATTTCTTATTCTCTACACTCGATTAGCTCGAGCTTAGATTAAGTAAGTAATAGGCAATCTTGTTAAAAAAATTATTATTAATAAAATAAAGTTTTACAGCATTCACAAATCAAGTTCAATCGCTTAGGCATACGCCAGTAGTTTTGATGACAGAAATAATTAGCACATAAATCAGTATTGATCATCATCATCGTTCTGAAATAACAACCTAGAAGAATGTATCTACTCGTATACACGTCTTGCGTTGTATCATCTATACGGGAAAATGGAAACAATAGGGTTTGTTGATCAACTTGTGTTTAGTAAACCAGCTTCAAAATGGAGGTTTTAGTGTGGGAGAGCCATGCTTCGGGGGACGGGACATGCATGGGACGGCTCGATCGGAGTGATACCACGGCCTCACAGAAAACCTACGTGAAACAACGCTTGCGTTGTGTTTCGTCGTGTGAGTGAGGTTACCGGAGGCCCAATTACCCCCCCCTCCCTAGTCCTCCACAATCCTCAAATTCTCAATTCCCAAAAGACCGGTAACGCACTTGTAACGCCTTGGTGTTTCGAGTGTCCATGGGCGGCGACGATTGCTTACAATCAGGTGATCCGTCTGCTCGTTTACCGGATTATGCTATAAAATAAGGAAGTTTTAAGATTTTAATTCTGTATGTTTGTCCACGATTAATTCGCGATTGGATCAACCGATTTAAATGCGGTTTTTTTTTTAAAAAACAAACATAAAAGGACCTTGTTTTTTTATTTTTTTTTGGCGGGAGAAGTCATTGGATGATTTCCCCCCCCCAAAAAAAAAACATGAAAGGACCTACTGTCTGTATGTTGCTTGCATGCATTCCTAATGCATCGTAGCTTAGACTACGCGTACATTATGTGATCCCTATAAAAGTCAAGAGATTTCACTGCCTTTGACTTAATGGATACAATTATACATATACTTCAAATAACCTTCAATGGAAGTAAATTGTGTAATAGATTCTATGCAAGATGAATAAAAACGAGCATTTCATTTTATAGTTTAAACTGGATTGGTATCGGACTCATGGTCCTCATCCTGAACGTGGCTGCTAATGATGAGGAGGAACACAAAGCTATGGTGAAGCGACAAATCAACAGTGTGCCTTTAGTTTATCCTCAAGGAGGTACTTATAAGGTATAAAATTATTTGTCTTTTTTTCATTACTGGGTTCAAGATCTTATTGACTTACGTGGTTTCAAAGAAAACTGTAATGAGTCCCGATACGTGATTGTAAGTGTATCTTATCCATACCTGATAATAAATCGAACAAAATAGTTCTTACATTGGTATTGTTAGACACTTTATACTATTCTGAGATTGGGAATTCTGAAATCGTTAACATTACTAAATTCAACACTATAATTAAACTGTAAATCTCAAGTAATTAAGTGCATCTATAACGGAGTATGAGATACATGAACTAAACTTTAATAACCATTGGTTGGCTGAGCCGTTGTTACTTTTTTATATAAAATCACGCCTTTTATCCCCGAAGGTGGAGGCAGAGGTGCATGTTAAACTACTGTACAATGTGACACCCACTTTTCACTATTTATGTTATGAGTCCCATGTAATAGGGAGTGAGTCTATTGGTATTTACTAGGCACAATCAATTCCAGACTCCGTGATACTACTGAGAATTTTTTTAAAACTCTAATTCTTTGCCCGACCCGGTAATTGAACCCGAGACCCTTTGCCGCCAGTCGCACTTGCGACCACTCGGCCAACGAGGCAGTCTTACTTTCTTCACTTCAGTGTTACTTTCTTTGTACTGAATTAATCTGTACTTTCTTACCTACATACTTAATTACTTAAGTAATATAATTAACGCATTTCAAATATATTTTCAGTTGATTATCGGTTTATCAGCACCGATTAAATCGGAGGACTACGTGAGTCTGGCCTTCGCTGCGAACTTCCAGTACCAGTACCAGCAATTCCAAAATATAAGTGAATTATCTCAGTACTATTTCATTAAGACTGTGTCTAGAGAACAGAGAGAAGCCGAGATCGCTGCTAGAAAGGACGAGAGGCTCACATTTTATACTGCTGTCGCTGATATGCTGCGATCGTGAGTTGACATTTAAGATTCTTTTTTATAGATTTTTTTTCTGGACAGTGTCTGATTTGATGGGTGGGGGAAGATAGGTCTCCGGTAGCCTCACTCAAGGAGGCAAAACGCTTTATAATAATTCGGACCAACTTCATAAGTCAGTAAGCACCAGCTAGCCATAATATCGATTTTTTGCGTGTTAAGTGATTAGTTTTATCACTTGACACGCAAAAAAAATGGGTATTGTTCTTTAAACGGATTATGCCGTTAATTCACTCAGCTCAGTTAGTTAAATTATTTCTCTATTTCAATGCAATCACTACACATTTCATTTATTATTTTACTAATTCAGTTTATGGTCTGGCCCAACGGAAAGGATAAAACTTATGATCCCTGGCACTTACACTTCAAACTGTGTTGAAATATTATGATTTACAATGTTTACACTAATACAATTGGACATTCCAGGAAGGGTATAAACGGTGAGGAGTGTGTTTACCGAGCGATCTGTGAGGCTGCGCAGTATCCTGTTGAAGAAGAGGGCTTAGTAGGAGAGATCATACATATACTGCTTACGTAAGTAGAGCGTGATTTTGTTGTAATAACTATCGTGAGATATACTAACTAAAAATCATGGGTTACTCACGTGAATAAACTGAGAAAAGCTCTACTAGTTTCGAGCTGCACGCTATCGTCGCCACCGCGCACGCTGCTCATGAGGAAGATCCCCTCTATTGTTCGATATATTCACGTCAGTAACCTGCGATTTTTAGTTAATTTAGAGCGTGATTGTTTACAGAGCGCCTATTTTTTTGATAACGGGGAAAACTTCAAAAGTTGCCTAGTTTTATTTGGGTAGAAAAGAGCGCCTAGAATGAGTTCCTTTTACGTTAACACCATCGGCACGTTTATGACGTTCGGCCATCTGATTGGCCTGCTTCAAGTTAACTAACCAATCAGAGGGTCAAACGCAGTATTGTTTCGGTCGCGTTTAAGTAAAGTATTCCGCAGTTAGCAGTCAGTATAGTTGACATTTCTAGAACATTTTATAGTTAGGCTAGAAACGTTTTGTTACAATGCCATGGAATAAAATGTTTCATAACTTCAACAATGACTAAGGATCAGCTTAGATTTTGATTTCAAGCGAATGTCCTATTAAACTCTAGTAATTGTTACGTAAGTAGATTTTCGCATTGCACTGTAAATGAAAGCAATACGTATTAATACACAATTAAATTAAATATTTTTAGTGCGAAATCAAAGAACAAATGTTTCTATAATACGACATTGATTTAATGTAGTTAAATCTTTACGGAGCGGCGGAGAAACTAACGGGTTACCGGGGCTCCGGCTCGAAGCGCAGGAGAAGGAACGGGGTGGTTTTTAGTCAGTAAGAGTCTGACACTCCTTCCCGCCTCACCTAGGTGGGAGAAGCCATTCAATGATTTTCCCCGCTTAAAGAAATCACTTATGTGCAATTTCGTTAATTTTTATAATAACTGGTTTCTGTAAAGTTGTTCTCCTGTATTCTCATTAAATGAAGTGATAAACTCCAATCAGTAAATTCATGAAAGTGTAATCAGATTACTTGACTGTCATTCACCGCGTCGGGCATCGATCCCGCTCTCGCCATAATGAATATTTTACACTTAATTACATATCGGCTAATTAAATTGCGTGGAAATATGACAGCAGTGATAAAATAAATTGATGAAAATAACCGAGGTAAAAATATGTTTTGAGAGTTAACGAAAATCTGTAATTTTAAATGTTGTTCAGAAGCTCAACTGTTGAGCCATTGGTTTTTATAATTCCATGATTCATTGTATTTCCATTCGTAATAAATGACTGACTGATGATGTCGTTGACTGCACGGCTGGCACGGTGATTAGGCAACTGTTGCCGCGCAACGCGTCGTGTTTTTCGATTCCCGCACGGAACAACTCTTTGTGTGATCCACAGATTGTTGTTCAGCGTTTAGGTGTCATGTGTATGTGAACTTGTCTGTTTGTAAACGCCGCCACGACACAGGAGCAAATCCTAGTGTGGGGCAAGAATTAAAAAAATGAAAAGTTATTTAATTTTCTAGATGTGGCACGATAAGAAAAATGACTACTACTACTAATTGGAAACTTGATACGAAATTTATTATAATGATACATAACTCTTTTGTCGTTGGTAATTGAGTACTCGTAACAGTAGATCTATATTGCATTTCAAAGCTTAGCAAGTTTACGGTTGACTTTTGGAAATTATAAAACAATTTCCGAAATTGTTATCATCATCAATCCATCGAAAATATAAATCGTTTCAAATCTACATAAAAAAAAAAATTAAAATTATATTTAGAAAAATATATTCCATAAATTCCAGGCCAGACTATGGAAAGACGGCGTTTGATGACAAGGACGAGGACCTGGACTATCTGATGGCGTCCTACAATGATGCGGCTACTGCTGGGCGGCAGATGTTCAACTGTGCTTCCATCTACTCCGGATGCCCAGAGGGCCAGGGTCTGATGGAGATGTTCAGCGTGCTCAGAGACGAATAAAAAGAATTATGGCGTCTTTGAAAATAAGTACAATAAGTTTCAGACTAGTGGCTATTGGATAGAATGACTTTAAAACATGTTCTTAAAAATAAATGTCTGGCTGTGCATTCGTATCTTACGAATGACTTCATCAATTTAACAATTTTTTTTATTGTTTTATTATTATTGTAAGATTTTTAAGATAGAAATAAATTGACAAATTCATCGATACAATTTTAATTTTACTGTTACCTATGTTTATCTTTTACTAAATACGTAAAACTATCAATACCAAAATACACTGACAATATTGTTCAATAGTAAAGTTAGTACTATGTATTACAAAAATACACTTCATAAACTAACAATATAAAACAAATTTATCTCAGAAATCCTGACTGAAAAGACTGAAAATGTGGCTCAAAGAGAATGTCGGGAGAGCCAGTAAACTCGCAGTGCTGGTTATAAAGTGTCCCGGGCAAAGCCGGGCTGTTTGCCCAAACCGCTTCTTGCGACAAATTAAGTAAATCTCATATGTGAAGCCGGTCACGTAAAGGCGATCTTTTTCTTACAATATTTACATTGACTTAGTGGCGTGTAAACTATCGGTTCTCGATTACACTTGTTAGTCAATTCCTTGTGGAAATGTGTTTGGGAATATATTTATATTAAGCTTGGTTGGTTTTGGTTCAAGCGTCAGTTTAGCAGTTTATTTCATAAGAGTTTATGTTTTTAATTAGATATACTGAATATAAACTGGACTAACGGGGATTCATAATAAAGTAATTATAGAAAAATACAAAAGTATACATATAATTTTTGCAATAGCGGAATTAAAACTACTAATATGACAGCAAAAAATATATATTTTTTGCTGTCATATTAGTCGTTTTTAGTAAAGTTTAGGATAACGATTGGAAATGGCATGATTATTATCTGAGTTTAAATAAAACGACTTTGCTTATTCCATCTCCAGAAACGTGTCGTATTCATACATGTATGTATCACTATACACTCTCTACTATACTACACTACACACAATGAAACTCTCAATGTTTGACTAAGACCAAAGTAAAATAAATAAAATATATAATTATTAAAACTTACAATTACAGTCCAGTCACATACTAAATCTTATTCACGTAACATATTTCGTGTCTAAATGTCGAGTACTTCTTTATTCGACTAAAAATGGTGATCTTCTTGGCTCCATTAGGCAATCAGTTCAATAGTAGCCGATTTAGAACTCCTCGTGAATTTATTGAGTGGTCCAGTGGTACCTAAACGGATTTATTTTGTGCTTACCACGCATTTGGCTTTCATTAAACGAACCGTCGATGTAGACAGAGACAAGAGATAAGGCTAGGAAAGAAAAAAAGGGATGACATGTCTTTGGTATTTGCATAATATGATCATGAGAGATAATTTTATGTATTTTGTATGAATTTAGATAGAGACATAGATTAACGTTACTATTTTTATTTGGATGTCGATAATGTACAAAATGCTCCTTAATATCCTATTGTTTTGCGGGTCTATAGAGTGGCGCTGATCAGCCTACTTATCTATACAACAAATGCTACTTATTTAGTTGCAATTATGTGATAGATTTGAAAATGTCTTCAAGACCTTTATATCAAATTTCAAGCGAAAGTAGACGGGATGTAAGGCATACAATTTAATTAAAAATGTCTTCGTATCTTGTGAAGCTTATATCCGGGAACATCTTGTTAGAGTAACATAACCATGTGACGTCATTACATAGTTGTTTGTGTACTCGTACATACATAGTTTCTTGTTTGCATTTGTTGTCAGTCACTTCAAGGAAATAATTTTAAGAAAGGTATTTTGTTGTTACGTCTTTCGTCTACAATGAGTTGTTTGTATGTGCTTTGTATCTCCGGAATTTCAAAATTCGAATCAGTAAGGTTCGAATTTGAAATTTGGGTTGACTGAAATGGACTATCAAACAATATAATATGCCGAGTAGCGGATGACTTTAATGGGCAATGAAATAAAATAAACAAAAATGGAATAAAAAATATGATAAAATTTATTTAAACAGTATCGGTGAACAACGAAACGTCTAGGAAGGAGAATGGGCAGGATAACTGAGACAGTTTGCAATCTTCTGTCGTTCTGTTGTGCCATCTATCTGTATCTGATGATTGCTGCCTGAAAGACGAAAAAACAATTTATAAATTTAAAAGAAGAATATGTCATAAAGGCGGGCTTTGATCTTAAGCTTAGAATATTCTATTGTATTTTAGGGAACAGAGAGTAAAGTAACCCTAAGATCGGAAAAGGAGGATGCTCCGACCAGGCGAGGTGTTCGTGGCTTTCTGCCCAACAGTTATTCGTTGGGATTTTCTATCGGTGTTAATTCGCATGTAATCTTCACATGTGCGATGTAGGACTTTGTGACGTCATCCGTTGATTTGTTTTCATCGACGGTCCTTGACATGTGTCGTCACAGTATTTTGACATAAGAGAAATGTTGTACTGACGTACTAAATTAGATGTGTTATGCAATGTAATCATCTAAAGATGTCGCGGAGAACCTAACGGGTAGCCGGGGCTCCGGCTCGACGTGCAGGAGAAGGAACGGGGTGGTTTTTAGTCAGTAAGAGTCTGACACTCCCTTCCGCCTCACCCAGGCGGGAGCAGTCATTCGATGATTTTCCCCCCTTAAAAAAAAAAATCATCTAAAGATGATTATGTATGTATAGTTCGCCATAATACGAACTCTGTCATATAAGTTGGAAAAAATAAGTAGAGGTAAAATGACTGCTTTGTTGGACGAGTGGCTGCTGTCGGGTCGGGCAAAGTATTGCTGGGTATTAAAAAAAATCTCAGCATTAGCACGGAATCTGGAATTGTACCCGGTACATAGCAATAGGCACACCCCCTATTACATAGGAATTATAACATAAATAGTGAAAAGTGGGTGTAACATTGGACGGTGGCTTTAAGTGCTGCAATGCGCACCTCTACCTATTCCTTCGGGGATAAGAGGCGTGATGTTATGATAAGTATGTATTATAATTGATTACCATTACATTTTTTAATCAAACTAATAAACAAATATCATTATTCCACAATCAGTTTCACTACTAACATTTCTAATAAACAATAACATAATATAATTCGAAATAATTATATCTAATTGACAATAATTATTTTACCCGTAAACCTAAAACTCTTCAAACAGACAGACAGTGACTCGAGTAATCATCGAACGCTGTCCATTTCGCCGTAAAATTCGCTCGTAATTTCATTTAAACGTTGCAACAGGGGTCACCTAAGAACATAATTTAATTTAAAAAAACCATTTTGTATTACCTGAAAACCATTTTTAACAGTTTGTGGTACGTTTTTCGTGGTTCTGCTATCATTTCCATCTCACAAATGGCTCGGCGTACGCAGTGGAATCCATTCAGACCGTTCCTGGGGCAATCGATTTATTTTTGATTAATCTTTATTGTAGGACTTCATGAATTTATTTATGTGTTAGGTATGTACATATTTTTTGGATACTGATGTGTGTGTTGCGGTTGTGAACAGGTTCGTAAGAACGATTTTTGCGCATAGTATGGTTTGATTTTGTTTTATTTAATAGGTTCTTGCAACATAAATTGTTTGAATATCAAGCTCCAGGTGTGTTGCTGGTGGTCTTGAATAATAAAAGACTTCGGTATGATGAGAAGACTGTATTTAAATAGGTACTGATTGTAAGGGTCAACCGATATGTGCGCACGGCGTCGTGCCGGGCGAGCGAGTGAATGAATGACCGCCGATCGCAGCAGTCGCGGGCCACGTATGGTGGTGAGCCCGATGTGACGTCAGGAACATAAATTAATTATTTATTTGTTACAAGCCTATTTTAAATTGTCTATTTTTCATGGGATACAGAGTAGGGGGGCAAACGATACACATATGACCTGATGGTAATTGGACAAAAGGAAACTTATTCATAAAGATTTGAAGATTGGTCTTAAAATTTTTTTTCTGTGGTATATCCGTGAGAGACATGCTATTCTGTATTCTAAATTATCATCATCAATCATTTTGTGTACATTAAACAATTAATATCTTTCTTGTTGTGAAAAATATATATGTAGATGCAGCGCAATATTCGGGAGTGGACTGGTATCAGCTCTATGGAACAACTTTTTCGCCTGGCCAATGACATGGACCTATTCAAAAACTACCATAAGAAGAATATATATAGATACAAACTTAGTTGGCCTGCCTCGTTGACTGAGTGGTCGCAAGTGCGACTGCCGGGCAAGGGGTCTCGGATTCGATTCCCGGGTCGGGCAAAGTATTACTGGGTTTTTAAAATATTCTCAATAGTAGCACGGAGTCTGGAATTGTGCCCGATATAAGGCAATAGGCTAACCCCCTATTACATTGGACTCATAATATTAATAGTGAAAAGTGGATGTTACATTGTGCAGTGGCATAGTGTGCACCTCTGCCTACCCCTTCGAGGATAAAAGGCGTGATGTTATGTTAATGTTAACACACTTACTTATCCAATAATTTCTCAGTATGACTATAAACAGTTCGTCTATGTATGAAGTGGTTCCTGTAAGGATGGAATGTGTCAGGCGGTGTGTCCCAGTTCATACGAAACCCAAGAGCTTGAGCGAATATCTGCGTCCAAGGCACCATGTTCACTTTGAAGTTGAAACGAAGCTGAAATTAATAAATACGGTATTATTATATAGTTCTTTAACCGACTTCAAAAAGAGAAGGTTCTCAGTTTGACCTGTATATATGTATGTATATGCACGATTATCTCGCAATTGGTGTTATTGTTCAATTCTACCGATGTTGATGCGGTATTCGGATAAGTGTTTAGTATATTAATTAACCGACTTCTAAAAAAGATAGGGTTGACGTCGGTTTTTTTAATCATAGTTTATAAAAGAATTATGTTTTAAATAATTCTTGCCCAAAAATGTTGTTTAAATGTTTGTTGTTCCAAGAAGTTTTCTTCAATTATATTATTAGCTATTAAGTATTCTGTACCACTGAGGACTTGGCAATTGTTCTCGAAAAATGTTCAATGATGTTCTGGCTGATCAGGAAATGAACCTTGTTTCATAGACGCACATAATTATATCCAATATTGATTTGACTATTACACATTAAATAACTGTGTAGGTATGGATGACTTCTTGGTCAACTGGGTCAACTCTGGATAAATAATAAGCAGGAATATACAACTAATTATCTTTCATCCTGGGACATCAACACTGATTTCTTTAGGATAAATAACTCGTGGACTATGTAAAGTTAAGAATACTCAAAATAAAACATACTCACAAAGAAATGAGACATATTCTTGAAGCTTAGATACCTTTTATGTCTGTGGTGAACAGAATCATTAGCTTTACCTAAATCTATAAGAATAAACACTACAAAACAAACATAACATAACACACACACTTGCACACACTTATACATTTTAAATTAAATTAAATGTCACAAATAAAAAACAAAAACTCCGTTCTAATTTTAAAATTAAAAGTTTGTAACCCACTTTAACGGAGGCGGCAACAGTAAAAATTACTTTATTGTCATTAATTATGCATTTTGTTTTAAAGTTGTGTTCTAATTTTAAAACTCTGGATCGTTTTTTTTTAAATGTACTGTGTTTATTTTTATCTGCATTTAATAAAAAATCATTTACACATTGATATCTACGCCTAAAGTAATAAGGTTCATATTCACACAAAATTTCTAACTCAAGCTCAAATTCCGTCACATTTTTAAAACTTTTTTTAACAATTCTATTTCGCACGCACACTACAAAGAGGAGTAACATAAGAATAATAAAAGCGAGTATATTTGTATGAATAACAGCCTTCTAAGTAAGGAGGTCGTATTTGATGTATTGTTTATCAACAATTATTGTGTTTGGACAACATAAACTAGTTTATTGAATATAGGTTGCCTCGCAGTGTTTCAGAGAGCATCAAAGAATGCGCGAATTGACAGAAATTGTAGGGTACCGTATAGCTTATGGTTCTTGATACTATGTTACATATTGTTGTTTTAATACTTCAATATTGTATGTGTTCCATATGAAATATACTATATAAAGCTAACTTTAATATTACCAATTGAAGTGAAGATTTGAACATATTATACCTAATTATGGTGCTATTAACAACAAAATGAACAGAAACCATCATTGATTTTTCCAATTTCTTTCAACACCTCTAAGTAACACAAATTTCTAGCACATTGACTTGAATATTTAAATGATTCTTAATAAATTAAGTCTCTCCGAGACAATTCATGCCTGATATTACAGAATAGATATCTTTCACATATTTTTTAAATCATCAGAGAAAACAAAACGACAAATTCTGTTTGACAAATTGGGGAATTTGTTTTGGCTGTATTTAAAAACAAGACCTTACGTCCAAATACTCAAACGCCACTAAATTTTAGGACGCACTTAAGTATAATTCTGTTACTACAAATTCTTTGTAAACTGACAGTGACGGCACGATATTTCAGTACAATTTTAAATTGAATTGATTCCGGCGAAAGTCAGTTTGATAATTGGGTAATATTTCTAGTTGTAGGTATTTAAATACAAGACCTTAGTCTTGTAGTTATGTTTGCCATCATTAACCCTTTAAAGATATTCCATGAGATGCACTCACTATTCTTGCAGCTGTCGCGAAGAACCTAACGGGTTACCGGGGCTCCGGATCGACGTGCAGAAGAAGGAACGGGGTGGTTTTTAGTCAGTAAGAGTGACACACCCTCCCGCCTCACCCAGGCGGGAGAAGTCATTCGATGATCTTCCCCCATTAAATAAAACAAAACTAGGTTTTTTATAACAACTAATAAATATATTTAAAGCTTTAACAAAATATACATCATAGTACATATTCTATAAAAACAGATTAATCACATGATATCAGTGTAGGGTGATACTTGAAGCAATGAAAGGGGGCAAATAGTGATCGACGTTGTGCATTCATCTGTGGTGACATTGTGCCATCTTTCTGTTGTTGGTGACATTTTTCTGTAAAGTAAAAAGAAAATTAAGGGTCGTTAAGAAGTTCTAGGAATTGAATTCTGTAGTTGGGTGAAGTTCTCTGAGAGATTTGCAGTAATTTAAGTACAGAATTTACTTATACAGATATATCAAAAGACATCATGTGCAGGCCCAATTACTCCCCCCTTCCCCAATCCCTGAAACTCCAACAATTCTCAAATTCCTAATCCCAAAAAGCCAGTAACGCGCTTGCAACGCCTCTGGATTCTATTGGCGATGGCGATTGCTTACCATCAGGTGATCTGTCCGCTTGTTTACGCACTTATGTCATAAAAAAAATTTTGAAAGTTAAGTGATTGGCATATTTACAATGCATTGCATTTAGGTATACAGGGAATCAAAGTCTATAATTACCTAAAAACCATTTTCAAAAGTTTGTGGTATATCATGTTAGGTTCCGCGATCATTTGTATCTCACAGATGGCACGTCGGACGCAGTGGAACCCTTCCAAACCATTTCTGAAAAACAAAGATTATAATCTTCGTAAATATTTGTGTTTTAGTTTACAATAAGTCGAGTGCGTTTTAGGTTACAGTTTTAAATATTCAAAAGGCTGCCTTTTGTTAATAATATCGCGTAAATTGGAAGTGCTTTATTTTTAAATTATTAACTACAAGTTCTAAGAAGATAAACATAAAGATAAAGATTTTTAGTTCTTTTTTCTCGTAATAGAATAAAAAGCAATGATTAGATATTAAAAAAAATTAAAAAACTTCTTACTTATCTAGAAGTGTTTCAACATAATCGTAGATTTCTCTCCTATATATCCGATGGAATGGTCTAAAATTTGACGGAGGTCCGTCCCAGTTCATACGGAACCCTATAGCTTGGGCGAACAGCTGGTTCCATGGAATTATGTTCGCTTTGAAGTTGAATTTTAGCTGCAAACACAAAGACATACATAGATCATTATTATTTAATTGAAATAGATTTTGAACTGTCATCATGGTTGAGTGTTAACTATTGAGCATCATATTTCTAATATCTTAGGTTAACATGATTGACTTTTTTCGATTTTACAATACTAAAAAACGTCTTGCGTTTTCATTAGAAAACCTCATTTTCTTTTGCAATGACTACAAGAACTTAAAAGTGGCGAATATCTTATTACGATATTACTTCGCTATATCCTACGATACACCAAGTATGACAGTATAAAATTAATACATGAATATTATATGTTTAAAAAAGTATTAAGTATTAGACACCAATTACTCAAATAAACACTGTAAATTAAACTAGGTAATCTTTTTTGAAGAAGTTCTTACTCTTTACCCTGTTTAGACTTATTTAACTTATACCCAAAGTAATACTAAGTAAATAGAAATTCCATCAAGATTATACTCACATAGAAACGCGTCATATTTAAGAAGGATAGGTATCTCCTATTCCTTTGTAGAACCTTTGTGTCATTAGCTTCACTCACGTCGATTATAATGAAAGCTACCACACATATGTAGCATAGCAACAACACTGGTATGAATTTATTCATATTTATGCCTAAGAAGTTTCTAGAAGTTGTATTGTGTATCGAAGTAAGTACTTAAGTTTATTTCTTTGCCATTTCGAATGGAGATTTCTGGATCTAAAAGAGTAAAAGATATATATTTATTTTAAGTATTGTAAATAAACCAAACTGATTTGTGTACTGCCTCGTTGGCCGAGTGGTCGCAAGTATGACTGCCGGGCAAGGGGTCTCGGGTTCGATTCCCGGGTCGGGCAAAGTACTACTGAGTTTTCATAAATTCTCAGTAGTAGCACGGAGTCTGGAATTGCGCCCGGTATATGGCAATAGGCTCACGCTCTAATACATGGGACTCATAACATAAATAGTGAAAAGTGGGTGTTACATTATACACCTCTGCCTACCCTTTCGGGGATAAAATGTTTTATTTTTAAATAGTTTTGTAAAAAACGTTACCCCACACTAGGATTTTCTCCTGTGTCTTGGGTGCGTTTACAAACATACAAGTTCACATACACATAACGCCCAGATCCGAAACAACAATTTGTGGATCACACTAAGTGTTGTTCGTTGCGGGAATAGAACCCGCGACACCTTGCACGGCCGCCGGTTGCCCAGCTACCGCACCAACCGTTCAGTCGAAATTGAATAAAAAAAATTGAAGACAAAAATTACCAAATGTAGTGAAACGGTATTCGAGAGAATTTAGATCAACCTCGTGACTTTGAATCGGTCACAAAAAACCAATACTAGGAAAAATATCAAGGACACTTATTTAAAATGAATCATTTGAAACGTGTAGTTTTAGCTGCTAACATTCTTTCCGTAAAAAGGACATGGCATTAGACAAAGTAGTTTAAATACTCACCCAAGAAGTTGACACTAAATCAATACACACTGTTGTGATTTCGATTATAAATTTTCTTAGAAATATACTTTTAAGATCTGATTTTTAGACAACTGAATTTCTGCAGATACTAGTAAATATTCAGTGTTGTAAATATTAATATAGCCTAGCTCTATGTTTTCCACGAAATTACACAATATATGTAACAAAACATGTGCAGTCTATATTTTATTCAAGAATGTATACTATCGGAATAGGAAAGGTTTTAAAACGCCATACGATGGGTCGGTCAGATATAATGAACTAAACTATTTCATGAAAGTAGGCTTTATTTGATTTTTTGTTTATAGATCGATATCCGCTGACCTGACCTACAATTTTTGGTAAGTCATGTTGACATTTTGTAAATGGTGTTTCAAAACTAAACTAAACTAACAGGTATGGTTTTTATTTGACAAACTTATCACTAAGATTGCATAGACTTGCAATTTTGAAGAGAAAATGCACGACGATGACAAATACAAAAACTAATGTAAATATCATTTAAATAAATTTTTGGATTTTTATCATCGTTAAAAAATCAACTATCAAAACTCATTTAGTACTTAAACTTTTAAATAAACTATTTTACATGCCATTTTTGGTTCAAATAAAAAATAATCACCCTGTGTAAGAATGGTTAACGGTTTCACCTTATTTGTCAGTCGTGATAAACGGTACATTACCTCCGGATAATCCTAACACTGTTAGCTTAGAATCGAATGTGATACTTTGCTTCCATTTCGAAAAAGATTTAGAAAATAACTTTGACTTTAAAAAGAATCAAAGAATCCGTAACGTAAATGAGAACATAGATCAAAATTTTTTGAATATTTTTATATACAAGTAATTAATAAAAAGTGATAGTAAAATGAATTTTATGAACAAGTCAATATGGATGCTCATAGTGTTTATAGGAGGTCAGTTGTTAATATCAACTAAAGCACAAGTTAATGATACTGATAATGTAATAGAGGTGAATAAGAAAAGTGAAATTTTGTCTAGAAGAAAAAGGTTTATCATATTTCCCGAAGGCAGTTCTTTACAATTGGGTGAGTATATACGAAATTATAAATAATACCTTATTAGTGTATATTAATATCAGATAAACCGGTGTGTTGAAAGAATACAATTTTTACAAAAATAGAAACAGTAGTGAAAAACTTGTCTTGGTCTTGACGTATGAAATTGCGTTTGTATGAAAAGAAAACATCCATGATATTAAAATAACATTAATTTGTAAATTAGAATCCTAAGCTAAACATAAATTATTTGGATTTAAAATGGCCAGTAGGTGCTACAGAACAGCAATTTTATAGCTAAAGATCTAATACATAATAATATAAGTTATGGTAAAACTAGTGATAGGCTAACTGTTGTTTTATAGTGTTAACGATATTAAAATTTATAATAGGTGTATGTTATTGTGAGGAATTGACAACAAACAAAACATTTTTAAAGCTTAAAAATGTCAAATTAAACCAATACAAATAAAAATCTTTTCAAAAGCAGGTTCAACCAAACCATTTCACGTCAGCCATTTTTAATTTACAACTCAACCGCTCAAATCTAAACAGCGACAAACATCTAAACAGCATATTGGATGCCATGTCCACGATTTCAACCGAGCAATTGCACGGAGCTCCTAACAAATGGACCTGTGACGTAAAGTGCTCCTCAAAACACGAACGTTGTTATACCAGATTTTGCCACATCATTTATAAAGTAAATCCTCGACTAAATTACGAAATGTTTGCAGTACTTTGAAAGCGAACTAGGTTCGTCTACCAACTAATTTCTCCGAATGAGATTCTGTTAGTGTTACAGTGTAACTTTAGCAGGAACTTTGCATCGTTAAATATACCGGTCCTTAATACAATAATGGATTTACAGAATTCCTTGAACCTTAGTTGTATCTAAGTTAGTTTCGTAGATAAATAGTATAGATGCTAGCACATCAACCTATTCTCATTCTGTTTAATTTCTCGAACATAGTTTTGGCTTCATTGCAAAATATTAAATAATCTCAACAGTTCCCGAATCTTTAACAATCCTCAAATCCGTAATCCCCAAAAAGCCGGTAAAGCATTTGTAACTCCTCTGGTGTTGCAGGTGTCCGTGAGCGGTGACGATTGCTTACCACCTGGTGATCCGTCTGCTCGTTAACCGGTTTATACCAAGAAAAAAAATAATTAAGTTGTAGTATGTACTATAATACCAAAAAGACTAGGTACTCATCTCTATATAATTACAAAGAACTTAAGTATGAATAAATATGTACAACTTAAAATACGAATAACTAAAATATATACATCTTAAAATAATAATAAAAATGTTAGCTTAAGGCAACAAAAAAAAATACATAAAAATCCATATCTAGGTACATTTTTAAGTTTATAGTAATACTGGTAGTTATACAGCACTTGATCAACAAATAACTCTGTATCACTATTAATGTTCTCCATGCATTCCAGTATTCTGCACAACGTACGCAATGATCTTCAGAATCGGGGACATCTTTCTGTACGGGTCGACAGCTGCGTTGGCCTGGGAGTTACCCCAGGACCCATATTCGCCATTCAACCATAAAGCTGATCCACTCCATCGAAGAGTTGATACCAAAGTGATATACTATACTAATGAAAATGGACAGATTATTGATAAGAAGCCGTACCACAGGTAGAAATTAAAAGAAATATTAATTTTGAAGAATATTTTCCAAGATCTCAAATAACTTAGATAAAGTACAAAAATCAGGTAGTAAATAGTTTGAACATACCTTTTGAAGTATATACCAACCAGACTTGTAACATATGGGCTAACTTCTCTTAGGCCATTCTCAGGCTAACCAGCCCTAACCTCTAACTTAGACGAATAATTAATGTCACTTCTAAAAGTAGAAACTTCGCTCACTTCCTTAGAACGTTCGCTGACAGAATAATATGAATTATTTCATTCAGAACAATATTTATTTTTTAACCAAATACAACCATTACTTAGTATGTGTTGTTTCTCTAATAACATTTTTAGTAACTAGCAGACACAAATACACAAATAACAACTTTGAAATTCTGTGCTACAAACTAGCTAGACGGACAGAGCTAGCATACAAACTATACGAAATTACAACTAAACTTTGCATGAACATTGAACAACTTTCAGAAAACCCATAGTGAATCCTGCTTTCGCAAAACGCAGTGTGGACCAAGAGGACAAAAAAGAAACTTTCGAGAAATCGAAAATAGACAGGAAACAGATGCATGCTTTGAAAAACAAACGGGAATATTTGAACGAAGGCATGATGCAGCAGAGCGTCGAATTTCACAGAAGCAGTCGTGCCTCACTCTACCAGAAAATAGAAACGATGCTACATGGGTTGGTATTATGTCGTATATTGGGTTGTTTGATGTGCGAAACCATTTTGGTTCTCGATTGCCTTTTTTATCGTTTTGTTTCTGTTTTTTTTACAACGAAACTATTGAATAAACCTTTACAATCATTTTTGTGTAAGTAATTGTTGAAATAGTTACATAGTATAAAACAAAGTCGCTATCCACCGTCTATCTGTCCATATGTATGTTTAGATCTATAAAACTACGCAACGGATTTTGATGGGGTTTTTTAATAGATAGAGTAATTCTTCAGGAAGGTTTATATGTATAGGTAATACATACATTGTAGAGAAATACTGATAAATTTAGAGGTTTTTTAATTACACCCGGGGTGGGTCGCTGGTACCTTACAATTAAAAATTTTGTATTGAGCACAAAACGTCTCACGTCCATGTCACATTTTTTCCAGTCTTGGTGTGAACGGTAAGCACTGTGTGCTGAAATCTTTATGCCTGGTCGGTCAAACGCAGGATCATCCTCAAGGCATGTTCTTCCAAGAAATAATGAGAGCGGTTTTCACGTGAGTACTGGTTTAAAGCTTTGAAATTCTAGTCTTAAAACTTTTCTAGGCTTTTAATCTCAACAGAGTTTTAGACATGTTTTGGGAATTTATCATGGAATATAAAAACATAAGTTACTATATAGTCTGTTCAGTTCTGTTTGTATCTACAAAAAAAATCCTAACAGATGTTCAAGTTCTTACGACTTAAAACTGATACATAAATATATTATTTGTGTCGATCCAAAAGACAATACTGTGCCAGCATAATTATAATTCAAAGTTACAAAAAATCTGATTATTCGACACAGAAGACCGCAAAATGAAGGCTCGAGTAATTAATTTAAAATTGAATAATTAAGAATATAATTATAGGGGTACTTTTGAGAGTGGCTGAATTTCGAACGAAAATATTTGATATGGACCTTGTTTGGAAAAGGCTCTGATTTGGAAACTTGGAATAACTCAAACGAATTATTGATTTATTTATTCATGACTACCTCTCATTTACGAATTAAGCGATTTGTTGTCGTTTTATTTAAAATTTAGAGTCTGGAATTGTACTTTACTATACTGTATGCACGACTAGATGACTGAACTGCCAATGACTATTTTCCATGTAGAAAGAATTCGGAATCTCAAATTCTGTAGCAGCCTGTATGTATGCACAATTTCGCTTACACAAGCACTTGTCTGACGTAATGTGTTACACACGTTTATTGTCAGGTCTCTGTAATTGGTAAATTAATGTCTATTCGGTATTATATCTTATTATATCTATTTATTATAAATGTATTTTGAGAGTAGGCTCAGGACGAAGTTTTTCAAATTATAGTTGTCAACGTCTCCTGGCAGATTATTATTACTGGCCTTATAGACTACCTCTAAATAAAAGGGTTCGCTTTCATCTTGATAAGGAACAATATCATTCATAGGGTTGTGTTTCCTAGAATAAGTATGCTATACCATAATATGTAAAACTTTCTATTACATTTTTCAGTTTACCGAAAAACTCTGTGGGCGTTGAAGACAAACACGCGGCATACGACGCAGCTCTCTCAGCCACGGGTTCCTGTGATGAACTGTATCCAGAATGTGATGACCCCTCACTCGAACCGGACTCGCCTAGATTTTCTTATTGAGGCTTACAGACAGGAAACTGTTTTGTAGATCTCGTTAAGCTGGACGTTAATTTAGAAAAAAAAGGTGTTGCTTCTTAAACAAGTTTTTAATAATATTTTCATTTTGAATTGGATATACTTACCTAGTGAGGCACCATAGTAATCTTAATAAGAGCCAACTTATAATTGAAGCAGAAAAGAAAAGCTATAGTATACCTAATAAGAATGTATCAAGCCTTTTTTCCGCACACTCGTAGATCTACTTACAAAAATATAAGAATAAAAGGATGCAGTAATATACATGCAATACAATTGCCAACCAATTCTCGCTTGTCTATGACCTCTCGTAGAAATAACGACTGCGTCTGAAAGCTCAACTGTGACTGGTCGATTCCTATTTGCAGTTTCTATATAAAGTGGAATCTTGTGTTTCCATTTTTAGGGACCAGCGGTTGACTTGACTTTGTCGATTTTTTAAGGGGTTTCACTTAATGAAGGTATACATTTGAACTAATGGTTATCGATGTCAACTGCAACTGGTCAACTCCAGACTGTATGATTTTATTGACCATAGGGTTTCTTTTTCGATCTCTTTTACTGGATTTTGGTGTTACATTGTTCTCATACAACTGAACCTACAAAACTATGTGACTAAAGAATTGTATTCTAAATCTGATTGAAAAAGTGCAACCTATGGAGTTTCTTGTTTGTTCTCTATAGGAATCTACACCGTGGAATGAACAAATAGCTTCACTTTTAATTTTTTGTTGACGTCAAAAGTACCTTTCTGGTCTAATTGAAATAAATGATTTTGATTTTGACTTGTCATGCTAAATTTGTAACATGTAGTTTATTTTATGAGTTGGTAATTAATATAGATTTAGTATGTTGCTGTTATAGTACCCTAGTAATGATTGTGACTAGTGTATATAGTACATTTGTTCAACGACAATAAATACGGACAGAATTTGACTATTAGAGTAAGATCAAATTAATAATACTTGTAGTTAGATTATAAAATTTGTAATTTCTAGTTCAATATCAGTAGTGTCGTCACTTTCAAGATAAAATAAAAAAGTTTGTATTCATTTGGTAAAGGGAATATTGGAGTAAAAGTAATGAGTTGGCAAACCTTTCGTCGATTAAGTATTGGCGATTGGTTTGACAATTATTTTAATTCACATACTTACACCGTGAAATCTATTTCGTTTTCGTCATGACGTCGTCATTCGTCATAACAACTTACCATAATTAAGGAGTATTTTCGATGTGTAAAATAAAAACAAAAAAATAAAGATGTCTTTTTGTATAGTAAAAAAAAATCATGGAAATGCGCTCATGAAACACTAGACGTAAATTTATAGGGACTATTTGCATCGCACGTGCCACCCAACGAGAGATACCTCTTCGAGAATTATATGACGTGTTTTTTGAAAAGGTACTATAAGTTCGTATGCGCTTTCGAAGTTTGCTTTTTGCAATGGTTCACCAATTATTTATTGTTTTAAACATTATATTTCTTTGTAAAACTATGTTATTCAGATTTCACGATGTTGAGTATATATGTATCTAGTTGTTAAGTAGATATGTAAGTATAGTAGTTACGATTTTAAAGTGTGTTCATTTTTAATTGTATTATTTTTAATAAAGAATCATTGATCTTATTTTGAACCTCATACTTTACCTCATTACAAGTAATATTCAATAGCTTTGTTTAATTACTATAAGTTAAATAAAATATTGATATGTGTTTTGTTTTATTTATTATTTTTACCTTTGTATCAGTCATGTATACAGTCAAGAACAATGACTTTTAACCATTTTAAGTAGGCCTACGTCTTTCTTTGTTTCTAAGCAAACATTTTATGTTTTTAACAGTTTAAATTGTCGCACGAATATAACAGTAAATCAATTTACATAGTGTTAATTGACCGTTTCATTTGTAGGGTTTCAATATTTCAAAATCGGTACAGTACATTTTATGATTTACAACGGGCAACTCAGAATAGTGTTTTGAAAATCGTATTTAGAATCTTTCAAGTTCGACGTCCATGTGGCCAGTTCTAAATAAAATCCGTTAGGAACAGGTTGCGTTCCTATTTCGAAATAAGTTTTTGAATAACTGTTCGTTATTGTTCCAAATATGAATAGTATCTTTTCATATTTCGTAACGTTCCTAGTTTTACAGACAGTAATTAGTGAAAATGTTAGGGACAATGGAAATAATACGGCAAATGAATTCCACGAGGAAAATGAAGGATCAAGAGCGTTGTCGAGACGAAAGAGATTCGTAATATTTCCAGATGGAAGCTCTCTACAACTGGGTAGGTGAATACTTATGTGTGCTAAGCATTTGAGCTTTAAAGGATTATAAAATTAATTTATTCTATTCAAAAGTGCAACAGGAACCACATTTCTGTAATGAGAATGAATGCATGTGTGTGAGTGTGTGTGTACCTCTGAGTATTCAGGTTTATGTTAATGCTTATGTAGTTCAAAAAGTTTATTTGACATTCTTGAACTAAATGTCGGAACTGTTAATTATTCTTAATTGAAACCTGCCCGTTAGTAATTACACAAAGCTGATTACCTTAAAATTCTAAATTTGATATGTTTGAAGATAATAATGACCTTGATGTACTACCGAATAAGTTCTATGTTGAAATTTCAATCTTATCTTGCAATTAGTCCTTGCGTATAAATGGGTAGTTGTAGTTTAATCTGTATAGTTAAGCAAAGCTTAGTTAGAGCTTGTTTACAGTGCAGTGCAAATCCTGACACTTAGCGAAACTTATTCAACAAGATGTTTCGATAATAAATTGATAGTGTGCTTAAACGTCTTCTGGCCTTTCCACCTGTCTGATAGCAGAAAAAAATATAATAGAGAAGAAAAAAGTAGAAATACCTGTTTGTTTCTACTATCTGTCATGTACAATAAATAACCTAATAAAGTAGTATTTCACAATGTTTGGAAGCATCTAAGAAAATCAGGCTGATTAATCAGAACTAAGTTTCATAACATCACACATATAAGAAATGAGTTACCTAAGTTACTATGAAATACGTCTAATAAGAGGAACTTTAATTGACTCTGACACCATGGCTCATGGCTGATGGAAATATTTCTCTCTTTCCAGTATTTTGCTGTCAGACCATGGCGTTGATCCCCATCGGTGACATCTTCCTCTTCGGCAGCACCCTCGGTCTCGCCTGGAACCTGCCCACTGACCCCAGCATATTCACCAATTTGAAGGAATACGAGAGACCTTTGAGAAGAAATGATGTGGTTAAAACTATTAACTACTTGGATGAAGATGGCCATCTGATTGCTAAAGTTCCTTATAAAAAGTATGTTTAAGTATTTATATACCTTACTATTTTCATTTTATTATCAAGTCCTTGATTTAATGTACATTGTTGAAAAAAAAACGTATCATAAGGCATCAAAGAAAAAATTTTCGTCATCGCTACCGTGAGGTATGGTGCCCAAAAGACTGGCGGCATTGCCACGTTGAATGGCAATGCTTAACCTTGTTGGAATATAAATCTTCTTTACGTAAGTTTTGGCACAATGTACACGCTTAGCAAGCAGGTTATCGCAGATTAAAAGGGTCAGGTTCATCAGAGAGTTCTACCTCCCAATTCCTGTCCAAAGAAGTTCCTTTAGTTGGAGTGCTAGTGGTAGCAAATGTATGAACTGCCGTCACCGCAATACTTATCTTACTATCTTCTTTTATGTCAATTAAAACAAAAAGACCAGGAAGCAAAAATTTATAGATTATTGTTCGAATAATTTTCAATCAACGAATTTAAACAAATAATTAAGCATCTAGTTAGTCCCCATGATGTATATATTGCAAAAAACAAATTTATCAGTTTCTATACTGACTGTAACTGTACACTGTACAGTCGTAGAGTTGCAATAAAACAAGATTTTTTATACAACTAAGTTGTACCTTACTCTTTCTTACTATTTCATAATAATCATATTAATGTTTATACCCATTATCTTTCCAGGAGAATCATAGTGAATCCAGCGTTCGCCAAAAGAAGCATAGAAGTCGATGACACACTATCGTTCAAAGAAAAACTAAAATTAAAAATAGATCGGAAGAAGATGCATGAGAGGCATTTGAAATTAGATTATTTGAAGGCTCAGCATTTAGACAAGAACAGTATAGAGTTTCATAGAAGTAATCGAGTGGATCTGTATGAGAAAATAGAGAAATTGTTATCTGCGTAAGTACTGTAATATTATTTAGTTTTAAATGATTAGTCTTGTAGATTAGATGAACGACTATAAATCAATGTGGTAACTTATTTCGATTAGATTAAAATACCTATCAGGTGACCTGTTTACTGACCAATCCTATATCAAACTTCCACAATCATAACATTCACATCTGTTTAAAATATTCATTGTCAATATCCTATTTGCAGGACGGGTCGCGATGGACGTCAATGCGTCCTGTACAGACTATGTGAGGCAGCGAAGCGGCCGTCGAGTCAGGGGACGTTTATTCAGGAGTTCTTCAGAGCTGTGTTTACGTATGTCAATTGCATTTTCTTTAGTAATTCAAACTTAAAAGCTTTTTTTTTTATTAAACCATAATTTGGTACTATTGAAAAGTCAACAAATGTTCTCACACAAACGAACCAACAAAAATATGTAATTAGAGAATTGTATTGTAAGCCCGATTGAAAAAGAGTAACCTATTGAGTCTCTTGGTCGTTTTTCACTATAGGAATCTTAACCTTGGAATGAGAAACTAGCTTCACTTCAAAATTTTTGTTGTTGACGGTTAAAAGTGCCTTCCTGGTTTGATTGAAATAAATGACTTTGACTTTGACTTTATAAAGTAAACAATAGTCTGTTGGTCAGTCCGTCAGTGAAGCTAGGCGCTCGTTCCAAAATGTAGATTTTAGTGGAGAAGAACGAGTAAGAAGCTCCATTCTCAATTTACACTGTTTCAAATACATGCTATCTAGACGAGTTTTCAACATTCTATTGATTGTTTTAAAGCTGAAATTATTGTACAGTTAAATGATACCATCCTGTGGATATTTCTACTGCTAGGCAGAGGTCTCTGCTCGCACGAGGAATATAACAATGATTAAGATAGATTTCCTTCACCTTACTTGTAAGCCGCGTCCTCATCTTTGAGAAGCGGTCGTCTCACCCGGCCTATGACCTAAAAACTTAAAAATAATATTATTATTTATAAATAAATGAGAGAAGTTTATAAATAAATAATAATAATAAATTAACCACCAGTAGCTTGAACCATGCTCCCGCTAATGGTCGGTTCCTATTTTTATATTTTTAAATATTATTTTTATTATTTAAAAATGTAATTTTAGAAAATTCTAAATAAATTTATGGAAAATATAAATCGAATAAATGTATCGTTCCAGGTTACCCAAAGGCGAAGAGTTCCAGTACGATGAACTGAAGGAGTACGACACAGCCCACGTTGAAACTGACGACTGCTCGGCACGGTACCCTGGATGCGAAGACTTGCATGAATCGATATCAATATAAATAAATAAATAATATAGAACATGTGTTTCCTATTTTTAACAGACTTCCAAAAAAAGGAGGTTTCCGGTTTGACCCGTATGTATATGCATGTTTGTGCACGGTTACATATTTCACGATTCATCAACAACCTATAAGTGCCCACTGCTGAGTAAAGCCTCTTCTCACACGGAGAAGGTTAGAGCATTAATCACCACGCTTGCTCAAACCTATAATTAGGAATTATAAGCCCAGGTTTACTCACGATGTTTTCCTTCATCGTTTGTCAGTAGTGTCTAGATCTTAGAAAGTTCATATAGGTAACTCGGAAAAAGTCACATTGGTACTTGCCGTTGGTAGGTTTCGAACCTGCATCCTAATGCATGAGAAGAGTCTTAAACTCTCTGTAGTCTTAAACTTTTTGTACTACCACGACGACACGCCGATCTCGCGATTGGCTGAACCGGTTTTGATTGGTTTTCAGATTAGTATATTTTATACTTGGGAGAAAGAAGGATTTAGTATATTAATTAACTGACTTCAAGAACAGAGGGGGTTGAAGTCGGTTTTTTTAAACGTACTTTAGAAAAGAATTATTAATTATTAATTTCGTCACGCCTTTCATTCACGAAAGGCATGGGTGCACATATAGGCTTATTATACCAAATATGCAGTGTAGTACATTTTATCAATAATTTTACGAGTCTCATGTAATAGGAGACAGTATATTGCCATATACAGAGCACGATTACAGACTCCGTGTTACTACTGAGAAATTTTTGAAAAACCGAAAATCCCTCACTATACTTTGCCTGTGCAGTAGCACTTGCAATCACTCGACCAACGGCGCACTGAAATGTTTCTTATTTCGTAATTAATATTCAGATCGGTGTCAAAGTCAAAGTCAAAGTCAAAGCATTTATTTCAATTAAACCATAGTTTGGTACTTTTGAAATGTCAACAAATACAAAATAAATAATAGTCTGTCAGTCAGTCCGTCAGTGAAGCTAGGTGAAGCTAGGTGCTCATTCCAAAACGTAGATTCGAATGGAGAAGAACGAGCAAGAAACTCCATTCGTTACTCTTTTAACTCGTCAAGTACCGTCATTATAGACACAATTATAGAACAATAGGTTGCGGTCACCGGTGACCGCTTGGTGTTTGACAGTTTAAAAAAGTATATTCTACAATGTCTCTGATACATATTTCAATACTGTACGCATATGTAAGAACAATGCAAAGACACGCTTGACGCATTATACTACTAACTTACTAAAATAAAAATAAAAATAATAAAGACCTTAAGTCCAACATGGTGCTCACATATGCATACTGACAATCCATAGAAATAGTGCTTCTATACAAGA